AATGGCACCCCAGTTCTGGCAGGAATATGTAAGGCTTCGGAATAAGTAAATAATAATTTGGAAAGGAGCTTTCAGACCTAAAACTAACTAGCTCTTCCCAAACATAAACCATCTGAACTACAACAACCTGGTAGTTGCAGTGCAAAAGCCAGCCAGCCCCATAATCCCTTCCATATAAGGACATCTCAAAGTGCTGTTTTTCTTCTGTCTCCATGACCTGGTGAAGGGCCACAGTGCAGACTAGCAATGCTAGTGATAGGAAAAAAAAAAAAAGAGGGTCTGATTCCCCTCAAATTGCTTCTGCTTTGACACAAGCCAGGAACCCCAAAACACCTGCAATAAAATCCTGTCAAATGTCACTGGCTGTCTTGCTTCCTCCTTCGCTCTCTAACTTTTAAAAAATATTTTAAATGGAGGCTAAACATTGTGTGCCAAAGCATAGCTACCCTGTGTGCTGGGGTGGGTGTGAAGGGACTCTTGGCCCAGGTGTTTGTCAGTAGTGGTTTTTGTAGACTGCTTGGTGAGTTCTAGCTCAAGTCTATTACTCCTGAGCAGCTTTGCAAAGAGGAGGATACATAGAAGCATCACGGTGACGTTCCTGGCTTGGTGGATGGATATTTATCATCAGAGAAGCCCTACAGCTGCCTCACTCTAATTCCTCTACAAGCTGCTGCCCTGCTGGCTGAAATTGTTGAAATGATGGTACAGAGCTATGGCACTGACAAAAGTTCAACAAATTCTCAATTCTGCATCAAAACCAGACTGTCCTGTTTGGCCAAGAAGCACTAACTGCAGCCTAAAGAGCACCAACCTCTTCCGAAATATTGCAATGTGCACCAAGAGCTTCGCAAAGGACTATCAGTAACAGGAAAAAGGCCACTGAGCATGTACTGGCAACCAGAATCCCTGACTCTGCTTCTAAAGGATGGGAAGTTCTGGGCTGTGACAGATACAGAGAGCTGCTGGCCCTCTTTTAGTACTTTCTGCCTTGGTCTCTTGCATCAAAGCTTCACCTAATCAGATGGCCTGGAGCTGCATTTGTGGTGAGTAGCCAGCAACCAATGAATTCTTGGTTTCTGAGGCAATGGTGTCAGATATTCTGGAGGGCAAAGTGCCCTGCCGGTCTTAGCAGAGGGGAGGCTGGGTTTTTTTCTCCAGGTGAAGAGGGAAGGGGCTGTATGTGGGAGGAGGGAAGCTCAGTATTGCCAGGGTATTCTTTTGGGAATGATTCTGGAGGAAAGACCAGAACGACGATAGCTCTGAAAGCTAGGGATGGAAAAAAGCATGTTTATACCAAAGTCAGGAACACCCAAATCAACATCAAATTCGTCTTTATTAGGAAGTTCTAGCTGAGACTGACCATGCTGACAAGTTTGACATCCTGTTTATCAACGTAACAGGACAATCCAAGGTACACTTAGAAAAAACACTTCGCAGACTGGTTTGAACAGGCTTTTATCACTCTAAACTAGTTTTTGCATGATCACATTTCCCACTCAGAGACAGAGCTACTCAATGTTACTACAGTGATCCACTAGCACTGCACACAGCTCCATTTGGAAGTCAAGCACTACGTAAAACTAATCTCTTCTGGGACTCTGTCCCAAAACAACTGGTACTCCTACCCCTCTTGGAAACCCTAGCTAAACCAAGGAGCACCTGCTCTGTAATTTATAGCTTTCTCTTGCCCTACACTAAAATAAGAATAGATGAACTTAGAAACCTCTCCAGCCAGCATGTGGGCTGTGCAGTGGATGAGAAGTCATGTGGTAGAGTCTGTGGAAAGACCAGATAGGTCAATCACAGACATAAACTTATGAATTAGGCAAAGATTTTTTTTTTTTAAATAATCCAAATACTCTGATCCCTCGCTGGTAAATCAGGGGCAATAAAGTCAAGGCCTGCCACAGCTGTGCCAAAGTGGCAATGAACATATAAGGTGAGAGAAGGGCCCTTATTTTAGCACCACCATTCAGGAGAGGGTAAGAGAGCCACAGCAAAAGTAACTGAAGGTGCCAGAGATGGGAATGGCCATGGTGCCTTCAGTGTGGCAGCAGGGAGTCCTCACAGTGCAACAGGCTGCCTTGAACAGTGAACTGAGGACAGGATTGACAGCAAAAAAACTCTTTTAAGTCAGCAATCCAGCTCTGCCACTGTCTCTCTGTACATCCTTAGTGAGAATTCCTAGTACATTCCTAAATGAGGATCCTTAGTCTTGGATTCCTATCAACAGTGATGGGGTAAAAGTTATGCACTTCATGGGGATATTGTAACTCCTAATTAAAATGTCACACTAGTACTAAAATTCACCAGAACACAGTCCAGATGCCAACAGTGCCCAAACCTCCTGACTGTCTGGAATACAGCCCAGTGAAACAATCCTGTAAGAGTGGGCAGCTAGGCAAATCCCAGGTTAGGCAACAGATCTGCACTGTTCCTGCAGGGACCCCACCATCTGTCTGTTCCTCCTTGTGCATTTAGGGGTGCCTTGAATAGTTATTTCATTTGACCTCCCTCAAAATCCTAAAGCTGGACCTGTGGACAATACTGCCATTGTGGTAAGGAACAGTCCACAATGTTTCAGAGAAGGGGTGAATAACTGTTACAAAAGCCTGCCCAGAAAGACAGAGAGCCACACACACAGGGAGAGAAAGGTAAACAAAATCCGATAAAAACCGGGAGAGAACATTGTTAACAAAGTAAGTGGTATCACTAGAGAAAAGAAGAAAGTCTAGGGAGAGAAAAGGAAAGAAAAACAGCTTTTGTGGTTTGTGAGCTTTGATTAATTCTGAGATTTAAAACATGGAATTTGTCCTTAAAATACCATCACTGGAGGATGGGAATGAAACTGGTCATGAAGTTCACACATGCTTATGTAAATACACATGCAAATAAGTTGTGTTCTTTGAGCTTTGGCCCGTTGCCTTTGCAGGCGGTATTTGATACTTAGAAGTTTGGCCACCCCTGCCTAGATCCAGGGTTTGGCGGATCAGGATGTCATAAATAGATACAAATGAGGAAAATGAAGCCATCCTACTAAAGATGATCATGATTGTTAAGAATCTGAAGGTCAAAAGATACATGTCACTTAAATTTCAAACCAGAGTATGCAAGGCAAATTACAAACCAAATAGCAGCTTGAACTTGTGCAGCTATGTCAACACTGCTAAAAGCCCCTTTGAAAGGCATGGCTAAATATATGGTACAGTGGTACTAGCACATGTAGAGAAAGATGCTGTTCCTACTTCACAGGGAACAGATTAGGCATTTGGGATTCACTTGCAGGACACTGGGAACAAGCAATTAAGCACTGGGCCAAAGACAGCATATTCCTCTTTGAAGAACTTGGTCCTCGTACAAGTTGTAGTCATGGAAGCGACAACAGCAACAGAGGGCCACCCCATGTGATTGCTGGCTACTACAAGAAAATGCCAGCATTTGTATCAGAGAGTGACTACTATTCCCCCAACATGAATGAAAAACAGCCACCCAACAGGTACTTAGAGAAACCAGCACTTGATGCTCAGATATAAGGCAGAAAGAAGTGTGCAGATGAGTGTACAGGGGAAGGAGGAGGGAATTTTGTGGGACAAGATGTGTCAGGGGTATATGGAATTTTTCTATGCATAAAAGCTATGCTGATATTCCCACAGATTTACATGATCCCACACATGTGGGGCTGTAAAGAATTCACCAAACTTTGAGGCACTGCCATGGTTTCAGACAGAACATAGGGAGTGCTCATCACAGACTCACTCTGATTCTACATTTTAATGCTCTCTTCCACATTATAAAGTCCCCCTTCTGGATCTCTCAAATTATTTTTTTAATGTGGTTGACCTATGGCCTTTGCTGCCAATTCCTATCGGACATCTCCAAAGTTCACAAAGCCTTTTTGCACATAAAGAATATGCTCTGAAATTTATTTTATTTCCCCTTGAACATAGTATTTGTTCTAAATGAGGATTAGTTTAAAAGCAAACAAAAGCTATGTGGGTAGGCACAAACAACAAAAAAACCCAAAGCCTATTTTAGCTTTATGAGGGAACATGAGTCAGAAGGATTAAAATTACATGAAGCATGTGACCATCTACTTTATTGTTCTTTTCAGTTATATCATGACCCTCATACAAGTGTATAATTAATTACTGTCCACTGTGTATGCATGAAAAGGGAATCTTCTCTTTAAAAAATAATAATAATATGCTTTGGGTAATCCTCAGAAAAGGTACTATATTGCTATGATTATAGAGTCTATCGATATTTTTTCGGCTCCAAAAATCCATAAAAGTTATACTTGACTTGTTAGGGGGCCCAATTATATGTTGACCCCATGTACAACTTGCCTTTTGTCCTATATTGCTTTTGTCCTATTGCCTTTTGCAATATCTTTGTATGTGGAATAAAAATACCAAGTCAGAATCTTTTTTTTTTTCAGTTCAGTTTTTATTTTAGTATTTTTAATACATTTAACCCTATGGGTCCTTTGTTATTTGATTCTCCTGTGGGACTTTGTAAGGGCAACAGCAGTTCAAGATGTGTAGTTACTGACTTGTATTCAGGGGGGAAAAACTGTTCTTCCTAAACCTGAACCTGAAAAAGTAGGGTTGACATAATTGCAACAATATGTTATTTACTGTTAACAGCCATGTCTTGAGACTTGTTTTTGCAGCCATAAACAATGTATTAACTTACTAACACATTTTTCCAAATAAGATAATTGGTTGTTTGGTAACCCTGAGAAAATTTCTGCTGTCCATTACCTAAAGCCTTTTGATTTTACTTAAAAGCTGTGAACATTAAAATAAATGCAAATGATTAGCACACATAAGGGAAAAACAAAGGACTCATAAACAGGAATGCATGTCTCTTTTGAAAAGCAAAACCAGACATGCTGGTGCAAAAGCTTGGAATGCTTAAACATGATAGAAACATGACTGATGAAAAGGATTTCCCCAGGGCAATTATTATCACTTAAAAAAAATGAAAGAGTTACTTACCAACCATTGCACTGACTTCTCCTGCCATCAGCAGTTCCACGGTGCTGTTATACAGGTTAACATCAATGATACCTTTCCGGATCGTTTCTCCTACTTTTGCTCCCAGTAATACTGAACCAGTGGTTTCAAAAATTGAAGCCAAAATACAAGCTTGGCGCAAAGTAACCACACCGGAGCCCACAGCAGTCCCAAAAGAATTGGCAACATCATTGGCACCAACTGAAAATGCCAAAATAAAAGCAATGATAAAACCCACAATAACCATCCACAGGTACTCAACCAGCGCCATCTTTCCCCCAAAGTGTGCTTGTAGGTAAATGCTTCCCCTTTGAAAATATTTAAATAGACAAAGCTGGAGGGTTCTCTAGCGGATTTGTAAAGCAGATTTCTTGTAAACAATGAGTTCTCTCTGGAAAGTGCTGGGTAGTGTGAAGAAACTGCTAACTGCTGATTTTCAAACTACTGTCAATACTGTTCATTTGGCTGTGTTCAGCGAGCAGTGAAACACATTCCATATTTTGCTTCCAAACTGGTACAAGTGTGATGTGCTGTCCTGCAACAGAAACACAAACATATAAACAATGAAATACGCTGCCGAGCTTGTAACACTGTGTCCTTTCAGAAGTAAAGAAATGATTTAAATCCACTAATCTAACTTTGGCATGTGATGCTTTGTACCATAAAGCAATTGAGGAAAAAAAATTAAAATTAGGTCACCTTCACAGCAATATACAGTTCTGGCATAAAAATCAGTAACCAAAAAACATACTGATCATTCTGAAAGGTTATATTTTTAATTTAAGCTGCACAGTGTGATTAGTTGGGGGGGGGGGCTTGGGTGGCGGGGGGGAAGGGAAA